CATCCATCCATCCATCCATCCATCCATCCATCCATCCATTCTCTTCCTTTTATCCGGGGTCGGGTCGCAGGGGTAGCAGCCTAAGTAGGGAGGCCCAGACTTCCCTCTCCTCAGCCACTTGGTCCAGCTTCTCCAGGGGAATCCCGAGGCGTTCCCAGGCCAGCCGAGAAACATAGTCCCTCCAGCGTGTCCTGGGTCTTCCTCTGGGCCTCCTCCCAGTGGGACGTGTCCAGAACACCTCACCAGGGAGGCGTCCAGAAGGCATCCTAAACAGATGCCCAAGCCACCTCAACTGGCTCCTCTTGACGTGGAGAAGCAGCGGTTCTACTCTGAGTCCCTCCCGGATGATCGAGCTTCTCACCCTGTCTCTAAGGGAGAGCCCAGACACCCTGCAGAGAAAACTAATTTCGGCCGCTTGTATCCGAGATCTCATTCTTTCGGTCACAACCCAAAGCTTGTGACCATAGATGAGGGTGGGAACGTAGATCGATCGGTAAATTGAGAGCTTCGCCTTTTGACTCAGCTCTCTCTTCACCACGACAGACCTGTACAGCACCTGCTTCACTGCAGACACTGCACCTATCCGCCTATCGATCTCACGCTCCATTTCTCCCTCATTCGTGAACAAGACCCAGAGATACTTGAACTCCTCCACTTGGGGCAGGACCTCCTCCCCGACCCGGAGAGGGCACTCTACCCTTTTCTGGCTCAAGACCATGGACTCGGATTTGGAGGAACTGATCTTCATCCCGGCCGCGTCGCATTCAGCTGTGAACCGCTCCAGCGAAAGCTGTAGATCACGATCTGATGAAGCCAATAAGACCACATCATCTGAAAAAAACAGAGAAGTGATCCTAAGGCCACCAAAACAGATCCCCTCAACACCTTGGCTGCTCCTAGAAATTTTGTCCATAAAAGTTATGAACAGCATCGGTGACAAAGGGCAACCTTGGTGGAGTCCAACTCTCACCGGGAACAAGCCCGACTTACTGCCGGCGATGCGGACCAGGCTCTGACACCGGTCATACAGGGACCTAACAGCCCATATCAAAGGGCCTGGTACCCCATACTCCCAGAGTACCCCCCACAGGGCCCCCTGAGGGACGTGGTCGAATGCCTTCTCCAAGTCCACAAAGCACATGTAGACCAGTTGGGCAAACTCCCACGCACCCTCCAGGACCCTGCTGAGAGTGTAGAGCTGGTCCAGTGTTCCACGGCCAGGACGAAAACCGCACTGCTCCTCCTGAATCTGAGGTTCAACTATCTGACGGACCCTCCTCTACAGAACCCCTGAATAGACCTTACTAGGGAGGCTTAAGAGCGTAATCAACCTGTAGTTGGAACACACTCTACATATATATATATATATGTGTGTGTGTGTGGGTGTGTGTGTGTGTGTGTGTTCAAACAGTAAATATAACAATATATTGATTGGGCAGGTTTTTGTGTGATGGGGCGGTTTTTAACAGACTTTTGGGTTGGAAAATCTCAACTCTATCTGGCAACACTGAAGGAAACATGTTTCAGATCCTCCCATGGTTCTGCTGAAGAGGAGCAGAAATCTGAACAGTGTGGTCTTTGTCTCCACGCTGTCTCTAAAAGTCCTGCTCAGTCTGCTGAATGTCCAGGAGGACGAGGACTCCCTTCAGGAACTTGGTTCAACATGATGGTTGAAGCAGCGGAAATCAGGACGTTCCTGCTCCGTCTGGATGTCCTCTTCTTTCATCACGTCCTCCTGTCCAATCAGAGGCTGTGGTGGACGCCTGTGTGTCCTCTGTTTTCTCTGTGAGGATGCAGAGGCGTTTATTGTTTGGACATAAAGAGACATTGGTGACAGATTGTTTCCTGTCAGCTGCTGTCTGTCCAGCTCCTCAGAGACATCCTCAGAGTCAAACGTGTCTCACGGCTGTCTCATCCTGACCCTCCAGACCATCTGGATCAAGGTGGTTCTGGTGGTTCATGTCACATGACTTCCTGTTTGGAGCTGAGTTCTTGGATCCGTCGCTGACAGACAACGTTTCACCAATTTGTTTTTCTTAGCTCCAGTAAACAAAAGTAAATTTTGAGCTGAATATTTGGTTCTGGTCTGGATGATCTGGTATGGATGACCACTTTGGGTCCCCAGCTCAGTTCTGGTTAGGTCCAGTTTGTCCCTGTTCTGGACTCTTGCAGTCCCTTTCTAGATCTTAGCTATGATCTGTCTCCACCCTGCAGTTCAAAACTCAGTGCTGCTTCTAAAGTTCACCTGGTCCACACACACACACACACGCGCGCACGCACACACACACACACACACACACACACACACAGACACACACGCGCGCGCGCACGCACACACACACACAGTGAGGAGGAGGAAGTGTGTGTTTGTGGTTGCTTCATTGTTTCCTGTTATAAACTGCGGCCTTTGTGAGCTCAGTCCTTTCAGCTGCTTCACCTTTATTTGCCATCAACACAGAGGGGCCCCCGGGGGCCGGGTCCTTGTCAGCGCACTGTTTACACAGCAGATTCTTTGGCTAAACCAACAGCTGTACCCTCCGCCGCCTCAAACATGGCGGCGCTCCTTCACACGCCGAGCGGCTGTGGAGCCCACTGAGCACGTGCAGACCGGCGAGCAGAGGACCAATCAGCTGCTGCGTCTCGCTTTGACTGCTCTGATTTCACAAACGATCTGCAGAAAGAAGGTGGAGCCTCTGAGGGTCTGTCCACCTGCAGCTCAGCCCAGTTCTGTTCAGTTCTAAATGGAGCACAACATTTACCAAAGATGACTTGGTCTGTTCACATCCCGGTTCTGTAAACGAGACCAGAACTAAATGAGTTTGACAGAAAACTGGACTTGAAGTCCAGGATTTGTCTCAGAGCTGTTAGCTGAACGCCTTCAGCAACAGGATCTGTTGGATCAGATCCAGAATGTGTTAGATCAGATCCTGTTTTCTGGATATGTTTTGTCAGATCCTCCAGGTTCTGTTGAAACAGATCCAGGATCTGTTGGATAAGATCTAGAATCCAGGATCTGTTGGATCAGATCCTGGATCTGTATCGCCTCAAAAAAAACAAAGACCTCTCCCTCTTTCCTCCTCCGCAGACTAATTTCACCACTTGAATATGTTGAACCAAAAACATTTAGGTTTACTTCATCCTCTGTTCAGTTTCGGTCCAGAAAAACACTCATTTTCAGAACTAAAACAAACTCATGATTAGATCTAAAACCACTCATGTCCAGAACGTTCATAACTACAAAACACTCATGTTCAGAACAACAAACACTCAGGTCCAGAACTACAAACACTCATGATTAGAACTAAAAACAGTCATGTTCAGAACTACAAGCACTCATGTTCAGAACTACAAACACCCATGTCTAGAATTACAAACACTCATGGTCAGAACTACAAACACACATGTTCAGAACTACAAACACTCATGTCCTGAACTAGAAAGCACTCATGTCTAGAACTACAAACA